TATATTAGTTAACAATGGTGAAATTGGATAGCTTAGAATTTTAACTCTTGGTGTCAATCTAAGTCAATTTAGTTTTTCTTTAATTGTTTTAGTTAATTACTTCATTTAAATCATTTGATTTCAATTGTTCAAATAAAATTAAAATTAGTTAATTTTCATAATTAATTAGTTTACAATCTCCATGATTTGATACTCTATTTTCATTATTATATTACTTCAATTAACTGGTAATCTTGCTAGAATGAATTTAGCTCATCAAATAAAAAAAAAAAAAAGAAGCTTTTATAAGAGGAGAGAAGGAAGTGAAAAAAAGGGAAGGGAGAGACATAAGATAGAGTCACCGAAGAATGAGAGGGAGGATGGCAGGAGAAGGGGAGAGGTAGAGATCAGCTATTCTAGAGGAGATCGAGAAGAGAGAAAGTTGTGGTTAATTAAATTAAATTAATATTTGTATATGATAATTGTTGAATTATATAGATTAATTCTTCATTCAGGGCAGTTCATCCAAAAAAAAAAAAAAAAACTTCATTGAGGTCAGTATTATTAATATCTTGATATACCCCGTAAACAAAAGAAATTCAAATATTGTCCACATAAGAACTGCTCAATACAATTAGAATTAAATTGCCACGTGTTGGCCCATGTAGTTTCCATATAATATTCATGAATTTTTGAACAAATTTGTAACGGATCGGATTCGAACCGTTACCTTGGGGGTAGGAGAATGCATTTATACGTGATCTGACGTCATTGGATCTGAAGGCTTAAGTGTCGTATAATATTCATGAATTTAAAAAATGAAATTTTTGAGGAGTTAATAGCCATGTCAGCATGTAATTGATGCAAGGACCAAAATGGTGCTAGAAAATTCAAGTTTAAGGATGATTTTGGTAGTTGTTGAAAGTTCAAGGATCAAATTGATCCAAAACACAAAGTTTAGGGACTAAAATGGTGATATAACCTTCTCTTCTTTTTTTTTTTCCCTCTTTTCTCCTCGTGCAGTGCACTCATGCATTGTGCTTGGCTTTTCTTGATTTTTGTCTCAATCGGTTGATAGGTTCACTTTGTTCTTTAATCCTTGAGAACCTAATAAAGAGTGAAATGGAGGTTAGAAAATAATGCCCGTTATATAATCTCACTCCTCTTTCATTTTGCTTTCCTTTTACCTGTTCCCTCTCTCCTCTCTCCCCCTCTCCTTTTGAGTAGTGCACCTATATATGCGACTGCGCTTGGTTTTCATTTATTTTTATCCCAATCAGTTTATTGATCCACTTCCATCTTCTCATAAACAAAAGTTAGAGCAGGACTACCAAATCCTCTGCCTGAAACACGGGCAATTTCCAGATTTGATAACTTATAATGGACAAAATGAGGATCTGGATGTTAAAAAAAAAAAAAAAGGATATGGAGATTTATATCTGGTTGTTTAGCTCATGGTAAGTGATTGTCTAGTTGTAAAAAGTATTTTCGGATCAATTTTGTATTTGGCACTTTATAAGAAAAACTCAAGATAAATTGGAGGATTGGTTAAATACAAAGCAGTAAAAAATAACTTTAAAAAGTATTGTTTATGGAGTCCCCTCAAATTCGTGAATTTGAAGAAACGTGGGGCAAAATAGCTGAGAAGTAAAATATTGGCTTTAATCAATGATGAGTCTATTAACTATATATTTATTTTATTTTATTTTAATCTTGAAATTTTGTTTACTTTCTAAATAATTTATAAACTTAATAAAATATTTCAAAATAATATACTGTACAAAACTTCCATTAGTTTTAATAGAAAAATAACAGAAAAAATTAATTAAAAATTCAAATAGGGTAATCCTAACTAGTAAAGCACTTAACAATAACTTGTGTAAACTATTAAAATATGTCAATGATTATAGTTTCTACTACAAAGAAAAACTATTGAAAGAAAAAATGAAAGTAGTATATGATAAAGGTTACAATCCCTCAAATAGTGAAAAAGAACTGATCAATCTCACAAAGTTGGTTTTATTTCAAAATTAATTTCAAAGAATAAAAATTTGCAAAAGATATATAGTTAAAAATCAATCTGATCAAATGAAGTGAAACTACCATTAAAAAGTTAACAAATTATACTAAATGGAAATAAAAGTAAAAGACAGTAGATGAATTTGAAAGTATCCAAAAATAATAGACAAAACAAAAAAAATACAAAATTGATTTTTAAATTAAGCTGTAAAATAATCTAAAAAAAAAGAATGAGTGGTTGATAATTCTTTTTATGATACTCGATATTATTGGGTCCCGATGTGCATTAAAAGTATTTTTTAGGTTAGAATGTCTAGCACTCATAGAATTAAAAGTGTAACATTTTTTGATGATAACGTGGGTCATAGCAATTAGTGGAGCAATATGATAATGTTTTGAAAGGCAAGATTTAAAGGCATTTCTTAATGGTTATGTGGGTCATAGAACATCTCTGAAACAATTCGTGGAGCAATATGATAGTATTTTAAAAAGCAATATTGAAAATGAGTACATTTTACTTCCTTTAATTCTAGTTATCTAGTTTTCACTGTTTATTACTTTGAGAAGCAATTTAAAGAGGTTTAGACTAACTATATTTCTAAATTGTTTCCGGATGAGATATGAGGCTTGGTTAATTGTAATTTAATTTTTGAGGAAGCTTATGGCATTGCTAGAAAAATTGCCATTTCAATCCCATATATTTTGGATGGATATAAACCCATCTTATGGCCTATTAGTATAGTGGTTAAAATTTAGCGGATTGTAGGTAGTGGATAAGTGATAGTGAATAATGGATAGCAAGTAACGGAAAGCAAATAGTGGTAGCAGGTAACAGATGGCAATTAGTGGATAGTTGTGGATAACATGTGGTGGATAGTGAAAAACAAGTCGTAGATAGTAGATAGCGGATT